CGAAAACACCTCAGTATTAAAGTGTAAAGTACCAAATAATAATAATATATAATTAATAATTCACATATTTGATATTATTATTAATAATAAATACTCAAATTTAATAGTTTTGGTTAGTTTAGTTCAGGTACAGTTGTTTATTTGTTCTATTTTACATCAAATCATTTGTCTAAATAATTAGTAAATTGTGGAAATCTGTTGAACAGCCGGTTTTTAGTTTTTATCTTAAGTTTTTCCTCTGGTTTTATTAACAGCATCTGTGTCCAATCATCTGTTGGGATTCTTCCAATGTTGTGGCGCACGAGTCCCAACAAATTAAATCCACGACAGAAACCACAAAACTGTCCGTCTGTTGCCATGAACGGAGCAGGTTCGGGTCAATAACTGTCCATAGTTACCGTCAATAATTAATGACACAATTAGCTCTTGAGCTGCCTGATTGATCGGCCGTTTTCTCCTTGTTGGCTGCTTGGCTGGCAGCCTCTTCTCTCTGACTGAAGCCGGGCAGGTATTGATTTTCCAGCATCGTGCTGACTCCCGTCCCCTCGGTTTATCCATACGTGTCTGCTGATGTGTTCACTTCCCCCCCCAGCATCAGTCTGTCTCTTCATTAAAAGCTCTAATTGCAGCGTGTGCACGTTTCCTTTTTTTTTTTTAAACACACACCAGACCCGTCAGCTTTTTTATCTGGTTTCCCTGTCTCCTGCTGCTGGTGAGGAAATAACTCCCATCCATCCCATTTAAAATCACCACCAGCTCACTCCTGAAATACACCTCAGTCAGTTGTAACTGCAGCTTTTTTTAATTTCATATTGATTTGTGAATTCCTCATTTGATTGTAAATTTTAAGACGAGAGTAAGAAAAAATTCAAGCTTTTCCTGACACCCTAAAGGACCCCAATTATTGTTTTTTTTTATTTCAAATTATACATTTTTTCCAAAAAAAAGTGACAAATCTCTAAATTCAGGTGCTCAAACTAGTAAATATTTGTCATATTTCTATTGAAACTCGTCATTTTCAAAGTGTTTGTCAGTTTGAATATGTGCTTTGAATTTTGAAAATATCTGTGTGTCATAATTTTGTAATTTCTTATTAAAGCTGTTAGTGGAAAGAATGTTTACCCGAGTTACAGAGCAGGGATGAATAGAATAGAAATTGAAAGCTCCTTATCCCTTCAGATTTCTCCACAGTTTTGAATTGACAGCAAAAGTTCCGGTTTTGCTGAACGTCCTGAACGTGTAGGAAGCCAAACAATGCACATCGTTGGGTTTGTGGTCACAGATTTGGGAAGTTGAGAGGACAGAGTCTGAGTCAAAAGGAAGGACGGCCGCGTGTGCCCTGAGATGTGCACATCCACACAGAGAGCAATTCCGCTTTGTTTCAAACTGTACGAGTACAGCACTTTTGCACGTCCCTTTAAAAAACCTGCCGCAGTATAACCCTCTGCTTCCTCTTATCTGAGTGAAATGAAACCTGTAGTGGGTGCTTCTCTGGTAAACCAGCATCATTTTTTGCAGATTTAGTGTCCATTTTATTATGCTGGTGGAATAAAGAGAAGCAAACCTTTGTTCCCTCCTGGTTTACTGAATTTAGGTGATTATCAATAGGATTTTGGTTTTTAAATTTCAAACAAAGACACAGAGATACCAATCAATTATCTGAATTGTGTGAGAATTCTGATGGCAGTCCCACCCATAAACTGGGTAAATTCAGTTTTACTACGCCATCTGGAGGCATGAATTTGTGTGGTGTGGTGGTTAGCCCCTTCGTCTCACAGCAAAAAGGTTCTGGGTTCGAGTCCCCGGGGGAACCAGGACCTTTCTGGGTGGAGTCTGCTGGTTCTCCTGTGTCTGTGGGTTCTCTCCGGGTTCTCCGGCTTCCTCCCACCGTCCAAAAACCTGCATGTTAGGTTGGCTGGACTCCAAACTGCCCTTAGGAGTAAATGTGAGGTTGTTGGTCCTTGCGTGTCTCTGTGTGTCCCTGTGATGGACTGGGGGACCTTCAATGGTGACCCTGCCTCTCGCCCATTGGCTACTGGGATAGTCTCCAGTTCTCATTGCATCCCCATTAGGGAAAAAGTGTTAACTATGATATATGGATGGATGTTTTTTTATTTACAAAATCTTCTTTCAATTATTATGTCTTTAGATCCTTTCTGTGATCTCTGTAGTCGTAATACCAAACATTTATTTAGCTTTTGCTCAGATACGAATTCATTCCTCTGGGGAAAATATACCATATAAATGACAAGTACACAGATATATAGGGTTCCAAGATCCAATTTTCCTGATAAAACTAATATGTTGCTTCATGTTACAGGATAGAGAGAATTTCTAAATTCATGGGGCACATCATGAAATCTTTGCCCTTTAATACTCAGATTTGATGAGAGTGGGATCTCCCCTGAGTCTTCATCCATCAGTGAGAGCCCTGCCAGCCCCTTTCAAAGCTCCCCTCTGTCCCCAGGCGCTCCGAAACACAGTAACACAAGAAACATCCGGAGCCGATAAGCAGCGCGACCACAACACTGTTCCGATCGATATCCCCCTCTCAGCGTCCCGCAGCGGGGAAACGAGAGGCGTGAGAGAGAGAGAGCGTCGGGGAAAGGGGAGACGGTGTAATTTCAGTTTGGGGATTTCCTTTTTTCCACTTTCTGATAACAGTAGAAATGCATCTCGGCTGTTTTCCCCCCTCTTCCACCCCTGTTCTTTGCTCTCTTTCATCATTCGGCTCTGATTCACTCTAATGAGATTCTTTAAAGCCACACAGATGCTCAGGTTAAAGTAAGGCCACTTCTGGGTTTTCTTTGAGAACTTTGGTCTTCAGTGATTAGGAAAACATGCTGATTCTTATTCAAACCGGTTCAAGTAAGGTCAAGATTTAAACATTTTCACATATTACATACAGTAAATACACTCGATTCAATCTTTTTCGGCCTAATAAAGGAGTTAAAATATTATTTTGAGAGGAATATGACTGATTCCGATAAAAGTGATTTAAAGAAGAGTCACAAAAAATGGTCCCAGATGTCTTTATAGTCATTTAGATTGATTGAAATATTGTGTGAATATCTGCAAAAGTTTCATAGAGATAAATGTTTCAATAAAGTGCTTTGTGCCTATATTAAAATACAAGCCCAGTTTTTAACTAGATCATCCCCCACTGATTAAATTAGGTTTGTGACTAGTGGATCTGTAATATAACCTTAAATTAGATCCATATCAAATTAGGTTGAAATGAGTATGTACAATAGGGACTTTGGGCGTCTTCGGTCTGAAGCACTAACGTGTTAAATCCCAATCAGAAGCTTTTATAATACAGCCTCTCACTGAGAGAGGGGAGAAATGATGGAGACCTAGCTCTGAAATGTGGATGGACTCAGAAATGACCAGTTCAGCTGCACGGTCGTCTGGTTTTAAAGTCTGCAAATAAATACTGGTCTCAGCTTCTTCTGCTCTCCTGGGATCGTTTTAATTTCATTACGACTTAATGCTGAGATCAAGCAGCAGAAAATAAACGACAGTTGTAGATACATATGTCCCCTTTGGGGGAAAATTAAAGATAGAAGAGGCCCATTGCTTCTTATCAAGTATTGATACGTAGAATATATATTTAAGCCCTATACATATATTGATGCATATATGTACACACATGTATATATAAACTGTGAGAACTTCATAATACTCACAAAAAATAAAAAATAAAATAAAAAAATAACTAAAATACTGAACTGAACTTTGATTTATTTCGCCTAATCACATAGTTTTTCCAGGGGAGCTGACACAGTAATCTTCTGTTTGTTTTTTGTTAGAACTTCATAATAATTATTTTTTAAAAACTTAAAAAAAACTTTAAAAAATTACTAAAATACTGAACTGCAGTTTGATTTATTTCGCCTAATCACATAGTTTTTCCAGAGGAGCTGACACAGTAATCTTCTGTTTGTTTTGCCACGCAGACTGATGCAGTTTGGCATCCATTTACCTCTTCGATCTGCTCTTCATAAAATCCTAAAATGATTTGGGAGGTTTGCACCCTCACCCCCACCCCCCAAACCCTTTCCACAGGCTTTCCACGCAGTCCTGTCACACCTCGGCCAGCAGGGGGCGCTCCAAGCCCGTCCATTCTCCATCAGCTCCTAAAATAGAGGACTCCTGCATCCAACTGCGGTACCCATGTGAAGCCTCACCGCCTCCTTCCTGCTGTCAACTGATGCCACTCTGCACAACTCCGGGACGAGGACACGAGTGGACTTCCTGCAGTTGCATGAAGCGCGTGCCTTTTTAAAACAGCCCTAACAAAAAGTGCATGTGTATGATGTTTGTTTAAATCACCTGTTTCTGTCAGATCAGAGCTGTCATGCAGACCTGAGCCTCTGCACCTGGGGGGCTTTTCACTATTTAAAATTAGACAAAACACAACATAACGAGAGGAAAAAGGGCCATTACTCAAATGGTGCATTGCATTGATCATATTCCCGTACATTTGTAACGTAGATTACATAAAAAGATGTAATATAATGTCATAAAAAAGTCCCCCTGTGGTGATAATGAACTGAGTGATGCACCATTTAAGGTGCAAAGCATGATGGTTGCGTTTGTGTTTGTTTGTTTTGTTTTTTCTTCTTCAAGAGCCAGCAGTTTAATGAATGTGTGTGTGTGCGTGTGTGTGTGTGTGTATTTTGGCGGGGCGGTAACACAACAACATCCAACAACATGTCACTACTTCCATTTGTATTTCGTGCACGCCGTAAGTCCTCTACTATGGCCCCTCCCACTTCTGCAAGAGGACCCGGCGAGATTAAAAATAAATAAAAAATACGATAGCGAAATTAAAGCTCGAAGAAGCAAACATTTCATTTGGACTAAACGTGTTCGGAGTTGCTCTCAAAAGACGAATTGAACAATCACGTATAAACATCGCTATCGGTGTGGAAAAGCGAGAAAAGCCGTTGGGGCGGCGCTATTTCTCCGCAGCCGGCGAGAGCTTCGCGGGAAAACCTGCGCGGACGGATACGGGCGTGATGCGTCCGCCTTTTAAGGCGGCCGGCGGAGCGCTCAGCTGTGAGTGTCCCGCCGCTGATGACAGGCTGCGCGTCGTGTCGTCCCGCTCCCAGAGCCGCTGCAGCCCCTTTCCTGCTCCCGCACGCGCGCATGCCGCGAGACCCACGCAACGCGAGACGCCTCCGTGGAAGGATTTAATGTCCCCCGCGCGCTGGAATAACTTTGCTGCCCCCTTTCCCTTATTTTTCTTGCTGCGCCTTTCCGTCGCGTCTTGGCTCGTCCGCGGTTTGAAATCCTGAAGGTAAGAAGAGGGAGGGGGGGGGTTAACGGGGGAGTGGGTTTTTTTTCTGCAGCCCTCCCACGGCACTTTAGCGGAGACGTGTTAGTTTAACGTCGGGAAGCTGAGTAGTAAAAGGCGGGTTTCCCCCAAATACACACACGCACGCCTTTGGCACTTGTTTTTACTCTCTTGTTTCCCACTCTGCGCGAGCACCTGCTGCAGAGGCGCTCGTGCATGCGCGCGCGGCGTGGACGTGGAGGGTCCGTGTTGTGGCGCAGACCATGTGACACCTCTTACGTTACAAACGTCCTAGCAGCTGTCTGAATTTCGCCGCCACGCCTTTGAGCAAAAAAGTTAAAAAAAATCTCTTTTTTTTTTTTTTACCCAGAAAGGAGCCCCCCCCCCCCCCCCCACCCCCCCCCACCGGAGCCGCCATCATGCCGCTGAACGCCGGTCCGGCGAGTAAAAACTACGACTACGACTACGACTCCCTCCAGCCCTATTTTTACTACGACAACGAGGAGGAGGACTTCTACCCGCAGCAGCTGCAGCCTCCGGCGCCCAGCGAGGACATCTGGAAGAAATTCGAGCTGCTGCCCACCCCGCCCCTCTCGCCCAGCCGCCGGCCGTCCCTGTCCAGCCTCTTCCCCTCCACGGCCGACCAGCTGGAGATGGTGACGGAGTTCCTGGGCGACGACGTGGTCAACCAGAGCATCATCTGCGACGCGGACTACTCGCAGACGCTGGTCAAGTCCATCGTCATCCAGGACTGCATGTGGAGCGGCTTTTCCGCCGCCGCCAAGCTGAAAAAGGTGGTCTCGGAGCGGCTGGCCTCGCTGCACGCCGCCCGGAAGGAGGCGGCGGCGGTGGTGACCGGCGGGGACTTCCCGGAGCCCGCCGGGCTCAGCAGCAGCAGCAGCAGCTACCTGCACGACCTCAACACGTCCGCGTCCGAGTGCATCGACCCCTCGGTGGTCTTCCCCTACCCGGTCCCGGAGACCCCCCGGCGGCAGCAACAGCAACCGGGGACCCCCCCCCCTAAGGACCTGGGGCTGGACACGCCGCCCAACAGCGGCAGCAGCAGCAGCTGCAGCGACTCAGGTGAGCCGGGGACACGCCCCTTTTCGCGGGATTGCAAAGTTTTTTTGTTTTGCACGTGCTTCGTTTTTTGCAGAACGTGCCACTATGGCCTGTATATTTGACATTTTTAGCAAAAATGAGGATAAATCTGGTTGTTGTTGAGGCGTTTTGCATGCAGATTTTAAAGCATGTGCAGGTTCCACCCATGTTATGTCAGGCTGCTGTCACTGGAGGGTGTGTGTATGTGTGTGTGTGTCTGTGTGTGTGTGTGCAGTGTGTGTGTGTGGGGTGTGTATAGAGGGGGGGTGCACTCATGTGGAAGGATAATGGAGGGGGGGAAACAGACCCTGGGGACTGAAATCTCTTCCTGTTGCGGCGTGCGCCCGGGCGCTAATCACAGCTTTGTTTTGATCGTAGAAGACGACGACGAAGACGACGAGGAGGAGGAGGAGGAAGACGAGGAGGAGGACCAGGAGGAGGAGGAGGAGGAGATCGACGTGGTGACGGTGGAGAAGCGTGCGGCGGTGCGCCGGTGCGAGTCCGGCCCGGCGGAGAGCCGCCACCCGAGCCCGCTGGTGCTCAAGAGGTGCCACGTCTCCACCCACCAGCACAACTACGCCGCCCACCCCTCCACCCGCCACGAGCCGCCCGCCGCCAAGAGGCTGAAGCTGGAGGGAGCAGGAGGAGGAGGAGGAGGAGGAGGGGGCGTGGCCGGGGGAGGAGGAGGGAGCAGCCACAGCCGAGTCCTCAAACAGATCAGCAGCAACCGCAAGTGCTGGAGCCCGCGGACGTCGGACACGGAGGACTACGACAAGAGACGGACTCACAACGTGCTGGAGCGCCAGCGGAGGAACGAGCTGAAGCTCAGCTTCTTCGCGCTGCGCGACGAGATCCCCGAGGTGGCCAACAACGAGAAGGCGGCCAAGGTGGTGATCCTGAAGAAGGCGGCCGAGTGCATCTACAGCATGCAGTCGGACGAGCAGAGACTCCTGTCCCTCAAAGAGCAGCTGAGGAGGAAAAGCGAGCTTTTAAAGCAGAGACTGGCGCGGCTGCAGGGCTCCCGGCCTAAAGTTTAAAACGGGGACTCGTCTGCCTTTTTTTGTTGTTTTTTTTTCGGTTTTGTTTTTTTGTTTTTTAAAATACAAATTCAAGACTTGATGTACAGTTGTTGTTATTGCATGCAAATGCAAAAAATCGATTCAGTTGTTTGGAATCTTGTTTGATTTCAATGTTGAAAAAAAAAAACTGCCTCAGCTGAAGTTATGGTTGGATTAAATATTTAAAAGTTTATTTTTATTAATAAAATGTTAAAAATCGAGCCATCCGGTTTGGGGCTCAAACTAAAATATACATTTTTATGTTTTGTATATAATATTTCCTAAGAAAATGTATTTTCTCAATTGTCTGGATGTTCAGACCCACTGTTTGGTTTTTGCATTATGTTCCTAGATTCTTTTTGAAATATAAAACGTTTTCTTGAAATCGTGTCCTTGTTCTTGCCGTGAGAAGACACGCTGCAAACATTTCATCACTACTTTGCTCTGAGCTGGTACACGTTCACACAGAGGAGGGAAAAGTCGGAGCAGTGTGTGCTGCTGCCACAGGGATTATGAACTATTTGAATACTTTTGTTTGTTTTTAGGAGGGGTGTAGTTTCAGGTGGGGCACTTTTTTCCTCAGACCACTTAGATAAAGTCGGGACATTTTTCTCGAGCATGCATGTAAGAATAAAAGTTTGTAAAGAAGACGAGGTAAGCAGATGAACGTGTGAGAGACGGTTTTACAATAAAACTCACCAGTAAAGACATCAGATTTGACCATTTCCATGTTTAACTGCATTAGGAAGAGTCCACTGTAATGACTACTCACACACAAACACACTTTCTCAGCTGTTTTCATGGGTAAAGCTTCTTAAACCTGAGGTTTAAGGTCACCACTACTCTGTCTACTATGGCTGAACTCTGACTTTGGGAGTTGGTTATTCTGGTTTTCTGACTATGTGATGATCCAAGAAACAGTGCATGTAAACCAAAACACTTCCTTTACCCTGTTGTCACATCAATTAAACTCTCCTTTTGCCTACTTTTACACGGTGGAAATGTGTTTTTATTAAAAACAAGGAACAGAATATTCCAGAACAAAAAAACTGTCGTCATTAAAAGCCATGTCACAGGCTCGCGCATCACAACATAACGAGGCTGGGTTTGGTCGCGGGGGGGGGGGGGGGGGGGGGGGGGGATTTTCGACTGGGTTTCCAGTCTAGCCGTGACGTCACGCCTCGTATCCAGAGCTCAACACCCCCCCCCACACACACACACCTCCGTGAGCGCGTGGTCCCGGTCGCGAGCACATGGAAGTGAGGTGGAGGTTTTTGTCTCCGTGAGACTCCGGTAGACCGCCACAGAAAAACGGGATTCCCGGGGCACGGAGAGGCATCCGGTAAGAGCTCCGCGCGCGCCGCTCGCGACGAACCTGCTTTTCCAGACGCGCGAGGACAATCCTCCAAACAAGGTGGGGGGGGGGGGTTGTCTACTGGGGGGGTGCAAAGTCCTAAAGTCAAAGTTCCCGGAGGGCGGCTGAGAGGAGCCCTGGGGCTTTGGGCTTTACCGGGAAGTGCTTGGGAAGAGACCGGGTTCCCGGGTTCTCCATTGTCCGGGTCTAGAGTTTGTGGCTGGTGGTGGTGGGGGGGTGGGGGGTGTCTGCTGCACGTGTGATGTTCTGTCGGTCTATTGTTGTTCCTCCTTATCAGCCGGTGTCTATTTCTGATGTTTTGAAGCTGATATTCCATCCGTAGGGAGCTGGATTTCCCTCTGGGGATCCTCACGATTCTGTTTGGTTTCTGACCAAACACAAGAGAACAAAAGGCATCTGAGATGGCATCAAATTGGGCTGAATTCATGGCTGCTGTCTGGACTCCATGGGGATTAATTCTTTTTCTTCTTCTTTTTGTGGTGCAGCATTCATTTGACTGTATATTGTGGTGAATTATGAGAAGATCGTCTTCAAATAGCTATAGAAGGTGCTTCAGGAAAAACTCTGCTGGGGAAGAACTTGGTAGAACAAAAGAGGATTTTACTGTCAGCCGGGTCCGAGTCAGAAGTTCAGATTGATGCATCGATTGCAGCATGAGAGGTCTCAGAGAAAACTCTGTCCTACCATGTCTGTGCCTGCCCTTATATTTGGTCATCCCGTATCTCTACTTTTTGTCTTACCTCAGGCTGTTTTCATCCAGACGTACGACCCGAATATGGCTTTATCCACATTATAAACCTTTTCTTTTCCGGTTTTCCGCCTGGCCGTCTCCCTCCAGACACCTGGAATATATTTAGTCCATATCATGGACGTCTCCTTTGCTGTCCTCTGCCAGGCCGTCTCCATCCCGTATCCTCCCTACGGTCTTCGTTAGGAATGTATTTTCTGTAATGTTGATGCTCTACGAACAGAACAGTCTGTGCTTAGCTGTGAGCTTCAGACACTACAATATATATTTTTTTCTGTCTGTAAAAGCTATTTAAAGGTGGAACGTCTCATTCACCTCTGAAGGATCCTCTGAGCCAGGATGGTCCAGGTTCCTGATACCCCAGACTTCGCTACCGGACTCCTAAACTCAATCAAAATGCCCCTGGCGATGTTTCGGCTACGCTAGATCTGGTCTTTTAGATTTGGTGGTTTTACCCACCTGTTTCAGTTACAAATAACTGCCGTTTTGAACCACATTTCTGCGGCTTCTGAAGCTTAGCCCAGTTTTATTCGAACAGACTTTTACCTGGAAATCACAAACGTTGCCAACGAGCTGCTTCTGATTTCACATTGATAAGATCATTTAGAATATTGTGAGAAAAGATGCCGTTGAGCGCTTCTTTTTTGGCGTTAACATAAAGTAAAACGATGGTAATATCGGATCGGGACAAGCCTACCACACGTTATCCCCAAAAGGCCCTGACTTAGACTGCGTTCAGCCTCGTTGGGTGACCAAAGCTAAGAAGACCAGCTTTGGCCGTCGTTTTTTTTTAAGCAGTTTTGTTACTGCATCGACAGCCGTTGGGCTGGGATGCAACGCTTTTTAGGAAATGAACCTTCAGACCTTTGCAAACCTCCAATACTTTCTTTGTTCTGCACTTTTTAATCACACAGAACAAAGTGATTCAACGGCAGCCCCTTCTGTTCCCGCCGTCGCAGCTGTCCCGGTTTCGGGAAACAACTGCTGCATCGGAAATGGATTAAGGACGTTTTTGCGTTGTGAAGCGGATCCAGATGGACCTTCTGGGTTTTCCAAACTCTGCCGTTTAAGAGTATTACTGTCGGACAAAAGGAGGCTTAGAGGTGTGATTTTAATGTAAAACCGCTGTGGACACATGAAGGGAACGATGAGGACGGGTTCAAATTAGGGTCTTGATTATGATTTAATCTAAATGTGACCACAAGTTAAGCAGGTGTTGGAAACCAAGCACATGCACTGGGTGGGCTTGGCCAAAAAGCTGCATATATATGTATATATATATACAGCTTTATATACAGCGAATAATTGAAAGATTTTCTGAATCTGAAGCTGTTTTTGTTCAATAAAGAGGTCAAACGACCAATCATTCCAGCCTCCCAGCTCCAAATATCCAACATCTTGGATTCTTTCTTCGATATAAACGATACAAACCTCATGCTGACAGAGTCACAGTGGAGCCAGATGCCAGGGTATTTTCCTACTTTTCGAGTACCGAAAGGAATTTTTATTTTTACGCTTTGCTGGGATGACATCAGGCTCTCACACAGGGAGCTCCTGTGCTCCTGACTGCTCCGGTTCTTTATGTTCTGTAGTCTGACCTGAGCCTGTTGAAGTGTGGAGCGAGACTTGTGTGGGATCCAGACAAACTCTGACTGGGGCCAAAACTCCCCGCCACAACGGCTGCACACACACGCTCGGAGGCCCGGGAATACACCACTGCTCTTATGTAATCTGTGTTTTTTTCTGACCGGGGAGCTGGAATAGATTAAAGCATCTCGGCCTCCCGAAAGCTTTAGTCGTCTGCCAGTTTCGGCTTTTCTCCCATTTTTTACGGCGTCATTTTGATCAAATGACATCATTTTCCCCTTTAGAGAGCCCGGCCTCGAGTGGTTTCTTTCTTCTTTTTCTGTTTCCCAGCTGTCTGTTCGCTTAGATAGGCGGCGACAAACCTGTGTTCTGCCACCAGCTTCAGCTCTTTAGCGTTTTCTTTGGGGGATATTGTCCGACTGTGTAGGAACAGAAGTTTCTGGGATATTCAAATGAGATGTGGATCGGGCGCAGTTTTAATCTTTCTTTTATCTAACACTTTCCCTTTTTTATGAAAGAGGTTTAAATCTGCATTTTTTTTTTGTTCTTCATGGGAACTGCTGTATCTTTAAGCTTTTTTTTTGGGCCAGTAACCACAGCTGGCTGGCAATTGAAAGCAGGTGTACCAAAAGGACACAATTTAAGCAATTCTTGTTACATTTCAGTTGATTTTTTTCTTCTAGGAATATTCAAAAATTTTAACCCTATCATGTTTTTCTTGTCATTGTACTTGAAATGTTAAAACAGGAGATCTAATTTCATCTGCTAAACAGGAAGTTAGCATGCCAAAATTACCTCTTTCCTCTCCTAAACTTTAAGGCAACACACAGGGCTAACTAGCTGCTCCTGCTAAAGATGTTAGCCAACCATTTAAGCAAAGTAAGCTAGCGAGCTGCACCCTTCTGCAGCTGTGGCTCACTAAGTGGACACTGGCGAGGTAAAAGGATGATGAATAATGTGGATTTGTGCCACGCCGAATCACACAGCCATTTTTTTTTTTGCCGCCTTTTATCAGCAAGTTCGCTACGGTGTAGAGTAGCTACAAACTCGGAGAACCGGGAGAGTCGGAGAATGCAAAAGAGATTAAGTCGAGAACTTGTGTAGCGGTGCCAACAAATGAGATGAGCGTGGATTCAGAGATGACTGATTAGTGAGCAGATTATTGATCTGCCGCATTATTACAAAGCAGGCGACACTTTGGGTCAAGCGTTTGACTTTTGTTTGCAAATCCAACGAAGCTTGCAGCTTTTCCTGCAGATTTGTGCAAGATCTGCTCATTAAGCTGCAGAAATATGGACCCCCTCTGA